GACAACATACGATAAATTACAGGAAACGGGATTTGTAACTTCTGTTAAATTTGTGATCTTTTTGAAAGCTTTAAATAGATGCTTGTGTCACTGCCTTCACACTCATCACTCTACAGGACATTCGCCGGAAATGACACTGTTCGACTTTCCTCTAAATTCCCTGAACATCTTTTTCATGCTATTAATACACATTAACCTACCATATGCACGTTCACCCGACCACCAAATACGAGCTATTTGAAATATGCCAGTTGTTTTATTTGACTGGTATTGGTATTTACATCTAAATTTGATATTGGTATTTGCATATCATTTGACCTATAATCATAAATTTACTTACAATCTTTGTATACATATAAAGATTAAGCCGTATACATATATCAAGTTCATATTTAGCGTGTAACCCTCAGCAACAAAACATTGTTAATATTTCTGCTTTTGCACACGCTGACAGACACGGTGTAACACATGGCTGACTGCCTCCCCCACGGACCCCTGCTCCAATGTAAGCAGTCTGATCGCATAGGAAACCACTGGTCCCACACGCAGGGGGGCCTTCGCTTCTGATTAAGCCGAAGCAAAGATTATTATCAGTGCAGGCTGCCCTATTATCGCGGCCCCCCCTGGATTTCCACGGCGGGGATGATCATACGTCACCCTTCATCAGCGGAGATCGGCACTGACTGGGCATCAACATGGCCGTGCTGCTCAGTATACCTTAATTACTCCTTTTGTTTTTAGACAATTCAAAAAAAAAAAAAAAAAACAGTACACATGCAGGTCTTTTATAAACTATATATTTAAACATTATAATTATATTTTGATTATGATATTATTTTTAGGCCTACATTGTGCATTGCAAGATATAGTTCCCATTATGTACTCAGAAAAAAAGGTAAAAATTTGTACCTTTGCTTGTCACTGGGGCTGTACCTTCAAGAGTCTGCCAATTAAACCCTTAGCTGTAGGTAATTGTATTTTTTAAGGTACAGAAATGGACTCTGACCACAGATGGTATATTTAATGCTGTTTGGACCTTTGGGATGTTACGCAGAGTCCATTTCTGTACCTTAAAAGGTACAATTACAAGGGTACAGCCCCTGTGACAAGCAAAGGTACACATTTTTACCCTTTTTCCGAGAGTGTGTTACTTTGTACACCGCAAGATTTCTGTAAATGTGTGATACATATCCTCACATCGCCGATACTCTGTAACACTCCTCTCATCGTGCCCGACACTCTGTCAATATAGGTGCCCTTTGATTAAACACGGAGCCAAATGAAGGCGACGTTGGGGCTCATTGATCCTGCTCCACTTACGCTGATGTATTAATGGAGCGATCTCTTGCTTCTCTTCGGGTTGCCCATAATCAGCCATAATTGTTCCACTGTCCTGTCTCTCATTTGAGGTTAATGGTACGTTTCTGCTACCACCGGGTGAAATGAAACACTCGACGAGAGAATTCAAGTGGGACGATTTGTAATAACTACATTAAGAGAAGCAACTATAAAGCAAGCAGCTGAAAATAACGTCCAACCTACATTATTAGTGACCGTTTTCCTTACCTACTGTACGATTATTTTCTGTTTGACTATGATTTCGTGCTTTAGATATTTTGACTGTGTGCTCAGCAGGAAAGCTGCCGATGACTTGACTTTATGACCGCTGATGGGTTTGGGTTTGCTTCTAACTTAATAAAAGGATGTAAAATAACATTGCAAATTACCACCTACACACACACTCCTTGCCATTACCTTGTGATGCTTCCACGTGCCGCCCAATGGCTTGACCTCGTGCGCCGCGTGCTTGCCCTCTTCCAGACACTGGTAACACACTGGCGTCTTGCAGCTGACACAGTACATGCTGTAATTCTCCAGATCGTGCTCCGCGCACGTCGCCAGTTTGCGAGCCGCGGTCGGCTGCTGCTGACTAGCGCCGGGCACTTGAGTTGGTGGCATCAGGCGATGCTTGGCCAGCGGTCCGCGGGAAGGGTGACATCGCTGCTGACATGGCGTACAGTAAAACACGTCGCACTGCTCGCACATTACAGTGGCCTCGACGGGGTTTCGGTCGCACAGCTGGCATTTCACGGCTATCGATCGGCTCTGCTGGTACCGGGCTACGATCGCTTCCAGTAGCCGGTTCCGTGGGAAGCCCCTCAGCCCCCGTTCATCCAAAGAGACGCTGCGGTGACAAAGGGGGCATGTGATGGAGCAGTGCCGGTGAACTAGCGCCGGGGGAAACACCCTCACGCCGTTCGGAGACTTCAGGCATGGGGTGTATGATCCGTAGCCACTGTCCGTTTCGCTATACATACTCATCTTGTCCATATCCAGATAATCGTAATCGGAGGTGCCTGATGCACCGCTATGCGGAGGTGTTTCGCCTTCTGGGGTCTGAACGATGATATTTCGGGCGCAAGCCAAGCAAACGTTATGTGAACACGGCAGAATAATCGGATCCTTGAAGAAAGATCCGCAAACGGGGCATTTTAATTCTTCGTCCATCGCGTCCATGAAACGCCAACACACACAAGACAGGAGCGGCGGTCAATGAAAGCAGAACAGCACTATCTGATACGGACAGCTCCCCTTCACCCACTCTACGCAAGCGCATCGTCAAGTGGGATTGTGGGAATTGTAGTCTATAAAGTTTATGTCGTCAGAACGTTAATAGAGTTCATTCGTTTGCTTCCGATCCAAAGAAAAAGAGAACTACATTTCCCCTAATCTCTGCGGAACGTAGCAAAACCCACGTAAATGAGATTCTCACTGCTTAAATGACCGTGGGCTGAAAAGATTGGGTTTCGTAAGCAGATATCTAACGTAGACAGATTGTTAAACACGGGGTGGTTGGTGAATTATTAGCCGTCAGTATAAATGTCTTTAATGCAAATTATTAGGAATTGGGCCTGTTAAATTACTAAGGGGCAAATCTATATTTATTGTGGTATATGCAACTTTTTAAATATCTTGAAATATATGAAATATACAATACTAGAGGAGATGAGATTTGTATTCCCAGTTATATTTTTTAAATAAGGGTCACTCACGCGTACGTTTTCCATTTTTGTATGCTCGAGTGAAATGTAAATGTTACGCATAATATTAAAAAGTTAATGTTTTTTTTTCTCTTTTTCTCTTAACCGCTATTCCATAGTATAGAATCCACACTTGTATTAATTATAATGATTACTGTTTAACGATCGTGATCTATGCAAGACCCCTGTGCTTTTGTAGGCTACAGAAAAAAAAGCTTTCAAACTCCTGGAAAGAAGTAGAGATTATAGTATGCTTATCTACCCACCTGTCATAGAAATTTCTCCAACGACACCATTCAAATTCGTTATTTTGTATAAATGGAATAAAAGACAGCTTTACAAAAAGCTTTTAACCAAGTAGCACTGTTGTACGACTATTCAGATCTAGGGGCCATTTAATTTTTTTCAGATGCTCCAGAATTTACTCCAGAGATAAGTGAGAGATGATTAGTGTATAAAGTGTGTATATTCATAAGAACTCTATGGTTCCGTCTTAATGTATTATAAAACTAGAATGCTGTATGCAGACTGTACAGCTTTGCCCTGATAAATTCAAAACACAAAAAGAAAACATGCAAACAGACTTTGAATCAAAAATATATTTAGATTTAATTCAGTATTTTCTTTTAAAATAATGGATATTAAGTGATTCCATTTTACATCCATTCTGCATAGAGAAGAACTTCTGTGTGAATTCTCAAATTGAATACTGGTCTGTATCAATTATGGTACACTGTCAGAAAAATACCAGTTCTATCCTTACTGTAGGTAAATGTACCTTTTAGTGTAATTTAATGTACAGAAATGGACTCTGAGGAACATTTTGTACCATTGGGGGTATATTAATGTTGTCTGGCACTTGGAAACAAAACTGTAACTGGACTGTACCCTTTTTTCCGAAAGTGTAATCAAACATTTCTAATTTATTTGTTTCTGCATAATTAGCGGTTTGTATCTTAGTCTTAGTAAGAATCCTTTTACATAAGCATTTATCTTATCTGTATTACTGACATGTTTAATATATCAATAAACAAAAAGTAAATATATAATTACATTACAAATAACCAACATTTGTGATGGTTGAAATGGAAAAACCAAAGAACGGACGATACAGAGATTGAAATTGGTTAAATTGCATGTTCTTAGTGCTAAGGTAATGAATGATAATAAAGAAAAAAGTTTTTTTTTTTTAAGAAAAAATCTAATATGGAAAGAAGACATAACTATAAAACACCTCTTCATTTGTTGCTAAAGGGTTTTCATACTGCAGGAAATCTAAATGGAATTACCCACCACTACTGACATGTGGGGCCTTGAGGTTCAAAGGGATTATGAATGGTACTGTAAAGACTGAGTGCAAAATGAAAATGTAAAACTGTTTCTACCAAAGGGGTTCATGTAAATTATCAAATCCTCTCCATTTCCGAAGATCAGTATTACATTGGCATGAATTTACAACATGACTAGTAGCTAGAGACTGGATAACCCATTTTTCAAACATTTCTGTACGAAACCTTCATTTGGAGAAACATTACAATATTTCTGAAATGTAACTAGGATGCAAATAAGACAAATTATCTCAGTGCAATGAGCATAAAGCAAAATCAGTTTTTCTTGCTATTCCTGTAATGACTGATATTTACAGTTTTCAATATAGCAGAAATAAATATTAAATATTAAAACAATATCTCATTGATAGATGATTTCCATAATATGCCTGCTAACTCTCAGAACAATTAAGAAAATATTTCATTTCTAATTGAAAACAGGGAGATTAATTATAGACATAAATCCAGGCCAGCAAAGTATAACTGACTGGATAGAATTACAAGATTCCACCCCCAAGGCAGTGAATCCGTCCCTAGGTTGTCCAAAGGCCAGAATTCTCCCCGTCTGTTCAAGATACTGCTTGCTCTCAATAACCACTATATTTCCAAACATAACTCAAGAAAAAAGATATACATTTTCTTAAATTGTTTATTTTTAATACAAGATACAGTCACACTGTTGTGAGATCATTTTCTTTTGTATATACATTTAAAGTCTAGTGTCACAAAGCAGTTAAAACTGAAGAGAATGTTCCGGATACTAGCATAATTCTGTTAATAGCCACACAGCTAGCAATACGTTTCATTTGAAATGTGTTGGTTTCATTGGCATGTGGAACCTTTCCAAGGCGTGAAATATAATCAAAAATCCCCCCTCATCCCTGAAAGCACAGAAAATGCCATCAGGGCATGCTAAGATGGTCATATTTTAAAACAAGCATATTGGATATTAGATCTTTGCACATATGTATTTTTTACTCCAACTTCTCTGCTCTCTCCTGCTATTCGTTTTTTAATTCTACTGTAAATATTAAATTATATAAAATTCAAAATGAGAACAGTAACATTTGAATGGATTGCATTTAACATAATTTACAAAAAAATTGCCATACAATGAAAAAACAAACATGTTTTGTCCCACACCAGTAGTAATAATTCAAGTCCTTGAGTTACACTGATATTTGCATAACAGTACACCTTCCCTACTCCTAAACTAAGGACATAGTGCTGTCAGGGTTGACACGCATTGGCCGAGAACTTTTCCTCAGATCTTGCAGCTGCTTGGCAGGCTTGCCCACTCCTTCCTCAAACCTCTTCTCCACCACAGGAAGCACGGTTTCATGCAAGAAAGAGGCATTCTTCAGAATGAAAGCCTTCTTCTCAGCATCCTGCTCACACCGCAAGCTGTAGTCTACGTGCTGCAAGGCCTCCAAAATAACCTCTCGCAGACTCTCCAGAAGCACCATGTGCAGCTCAGGAAAGTACAGCTTCAGGCCTTCTTCCAGAAAGCCCATCATCTGCTTTGTGAAAGCCACGACGGTGTAGCTAAGGTTCACCCAGCAGTCATCCCCTGTGTATTGCTCAAAGTTACCCATACCGCATGAACGCATCTCATCCTTCAGCTTAGCCAATGCCTCAGGGGTCATTAGATTCATCCTGCGCCACATCTCCTCTGAGTTGCGGTGCTTGGTGGCCTCAATAATGATCTCCTTGTAGCTTTGAAGGGCAGCCTTGATGTCCTTGACCAGCAGGGACTGCAGTGTAAAAGTGAGATCCAGGCCAATCTCACTGAGTTGTTTACAATGCTCTTTGGCCACCTTGACACACTCCGCAGCTGTGGACAGGCTCTCCTTGCTGTCAAACACTTGTTTGCTGAAGGCATCTACAAACATCTTCATGGCTGACCGGGACCAGACCACAAAGGCAGAGTAACAGCCATTGTTGCCAGCAAAGTCTGTCTCGAACTCCTTGGCGGTCTCCAACAGGCTCGTGAAGAAAATGTTGCAGAGCTTGTGGATATAGAGCAGAGTCGCCCCCTCGATGCGCAGCTGGCGGATGGCGGTCTGGACCGCTGCTGCTCGGTTCTTCAGGAAGAGCTCACAGGCTTTGGTGGACTGGCCAAGCCTGATCAACTGAGAAACCGCCCGACGAGTGGCCTTGGGACCCCCCCGCAGTGAACGATCAGGAGAAAGCTCAAACACCAGCACCTCCGTCAGCTGACGCACACGCTCATCCACCTTCCCCCTCAATTCCTTCACCCGTTGACTCACAGGCTGCTCCTTCAGGTATTCATTAAGTTTGTCCAGGAGGTCAACAGCACCCTCAAAGTCCCTCTGAGCAATGCACACATCCAAATCCTCTGGAAGCTCTTGAATCCACTCCATGCTCAAATCTACCACTTCCTCAGATTCTACGGGCTCTTCTTCATCAAAGGGGTTATTAGAAACCTCAGTTCTCACAGGTGAATTTGGCACTTCCTCTTCTTTCTTATGTTTCTCCTTAACAACTTTATTCTTCTTAGTTTCATCAAGAATCTCAAGCCATTCTTTCTTTATCTTACTATTCTCTGCCTGGAAAATGCGGCTTTCTGGGAACATCAGGATTTTGAACATGTCTTTCATTGGAGGGTTGTCCTTCACATTAACAATCGCAAAGCTCTCCAAGTCATACAGTGCATTGTACATATATTTAACAGCACCACGGCGGTTGGGTAGCCAGGTGGCAATAAGAAGGCAGTCATTCATCAGAAAGGCATGGACCTTTTGGATCTGTGCCATATGATCAACGTCATATTCGAATAAGTCTCCATTGTACACCAAATATCTGCCAGGGGTCTCCATTATATTTTTACATCCCTCCACTTTCTCCAGCAATGTTGTTAGTGTTCTCTGTTTGACTTCTTCTGTTTCCTTTGGGAAGGCTGCCAACATCTCTTTTGCAGTTTCATCTTTATCTGTTGAAAGCAAAGACTGAGTTATGCTTTCCATTATACTTTTCTGTTCCGTCAAAATGTGACTCAACTGGTACATCTCACTCTCTAAATACGAAATTTCTTTGGCAGTCTCGATGAACTGTCTGTAATTCTTATAGACGTTTTTCTTTAAATTTTGCGCAGTTTCGTCTGCCAGCGTTTGGATTTTTTGACGGTGTTCCTGCAGGTCTCTATCGCCATCGGACTGCTGCGACAGATGCTTGACATAATTCTGTGGATCGAAATTTGCCGATTCGAGTTGTTTACGCAGCCTGTTTCCAGTGTCCGCCATCTTCTAATTTTCTTTACTTTTTAAATTCACGAAACGTTTACGAACACAAAAAGGACAATAGCATTAGCTAGCTGGACCAGTCGCCCAGGTAGATCCAAAAGAGGAAAAACAACTCCCGTTCACATGACCGGATTTGAAAACGGCTGGCCAATACTACTCTTTGTAATTATTTTTCAACAAGCTACAAGTAAGGACTTACATTGGTAAATTCAATACAGTTTATACTTTTATGTTTTATATTTCGATGTATATAAAATTTTTTAAACTGGAGCTATAGCATATTAAATTAAAACATAGTTAAAGAAAAAAAAAAAACTCCGTGTAATGTTATAGCTGGACACGCTCTAACGCGGAAGTATTCTATGACCTATCCCAGAATTCAACAAAAATAATGATAGTAATAACGTAACAAGAGTGAGCTGGCAGTGGTCGTGGGTGTATGCCACTTTTAAATTACGTATTGATAACAATGAAGTTTGTTTTTAAGATACGCTGAAAATATTTAAATAAACTTCACAGTAAAATTTCAAAGAATGGAACAATTGCAATTTTTTCCAATGACCTTATCTCCACTTTGGCTACGTAGCTAACAATTAGCACCAGTATGTTGTGTTGTTGAGGATCCAGCCAGTCTAATGGATGAAGATTTTTTGCTGGCTGTCCAGCTACAGGAGCAGTTTGACTATGAGGCGTCCAGTTCTGTATGGGGCGATGATAATAATTATGAGCAGAGTAATAAAAAGAGAAAGCTTGAAGTGAACAGTGCCATTGTTCCGTATTCTGCTCCACCCGAAAGGCCCTTATCGATAGTGGATGAGTCGTGGGAGATGCTCGATCCGAGTCCCGATGTTAGGGCGATGTTCCTTGATTTCAACGATAAATTCTTTTGGGGGAAACTCGGTGGCGTGGAGGTTAAATGGAGTCCGCGAATGACACTGTAAGTTTAAAGTCGGTAGCCCTCGATATCTTAAATTGGTTGTTTTACGATGTCTTTTTTTGTGTGTTGTTCATATACCAACAAGTACAGTATACCGTACTAACTGACATCCTTACGTTTTCAAAAGTCACATTGGTAACACTTTCCTTGACGGGGCACAAATAATACAGTATTATGATATTACTTGCATATTAACCACAAACTAAGTTTTACTTCTCTCGTATTAATTCATTAATGCATCTTGACGCGTGTTTTGTTACTATATCTGTTAATACTGTAAACCTCTGTTAACTAAGTCATCAATAACACAAGTTAAATACTGATATATTTATTCTTCATTCATGAATCATGATGCAACTTTTATCTTAAGCAGTTACTATATTACTATATCTGTTAATTCTGTAAACCTTTGTGAACTACTGAAGGAACAAGTAATGAACAACACAAGTGAAATACTGATCTCATGTTTGAATCATGATGCATCTTTTATCTCCAGTAACAAGTATTTGTTCATGATTTGTACTTCAGTAGTCACTGAATTATTACTAAGTATTTGTGCCCCATCAAGTAAAGTGTAATTGTAACATTTTACAACCTGCTATTCAAGACTCAATAGTACTCTATTGTAAACACATCCATGTACAAGTACACAGTGCATTGAAATATTGTCTCCCTTGGGCCCCCTATTGTGCTATAAATAATTGTTATTCAGCATGTACTGTAATTGTGCCCTAGCAGAACGATCTTGTTTATTTTACATTTCCAGATGTGCAGGAGTGTGTTCTTATGAAGGCAGAGGTGGTCTCTGCTCAATTCGTCTAAGTGAGCCGTTGCTGAAACTAAGACCACGCAGAGACTTAGTGCAGGTTTGTATAAGTGTTTTGTTAAATTTAGTTCCCTGTTTAGATATCTGTATGATATTCTTATACGCTATATATGCTGCAGATCCCATAAATTGGTATTTCAGTTGAAGATGTTTTCTCATCTTTATTTGCATGCAGGTTGGCTGTATAACATGTTTATATTTGACTAAAACACTGCTAGTATTAATAAAGTTTATTTGCTGTAAGACAAGTTTATTTCTCCCTTTTTCAGACCCTTTTACATGAGATGATCCATGCTTTGCTGTTTGTGACACAAAACAACAGAGATCGAGATGGCCACGGCCCGGAATTCTGCAAGCACATGAACAGGATAAATCAAGCTAGTGGGTCAAAAATCACTGTAAGTCCCATAAAAAGTGCAGCCATGCTGTCTTGAGTTACTCATGGTCAACCAGTTTAGGAGGAACCTTCATCTTTTTAGGTGTACCACACCTTCCATGACGAGGTGGACCTGTATCGTCAGCACTGGTGGCGATGCAATGGGCCCTGCCAAAAGCGGAAGCCTTTCTTTGGTTATGTGAAACGTGCCATGAACCGGCCTCCCTCAGCCCTAGACCCGTGGTGGGCTGACCATCAGCGCTCCTGTGGTGGCACTTACGTGAAGATCAAAGAGCCTGAGAACTATGGGAAGAAGCACAAGAAAGGAGAGAACCAAGATAAGAAGGCCCCAACCCAACCAAAGGGCAAGAACAGACCCTCCAGCACCGTCACAGGTGATCTGTTCAGCCTCAGGTTATTGTGAAAAGATTTGGTTTAGTGGTTTAATTCATGGTCAGTCAGTAGCATTGTAGATTCTTTGGGTTTATTAAGACATAACTTGTATTTCCGTGATATGGATTTGTTTTCCTGCGTGAATGTAGTGCAGAATATGAGTTCACTGATGATCTCTGTTTGAATACTGAATTGTAGAGTATCATTGTACTTTTAACGTTTACGATAAGTAAACTGCTTAATTTTTTTGACGATGATGACATCCGTTGTCCATTTACACTGTTTTCTTCTTAGGCAAATCCGGTGGACAGGACATAAGGAATGTCCTCCCATTCAGTGGCAGAGGTTTTGTCCTTGGGGGGAGTTCTCAGCTGTCCTCCCCTAAAAAACCTACTGAGTCCCATAATGGCAGACTTCCAGGAGAACCCTTGGGTTCCTTGAATGTTGTGTGGTTACCACCAACCCCAACTGTACCCAGAGATGCTAACGTTTCTCCCCAGAGCAGTCCCAGCATGGCAAGTTCCCAATTTACTGGGAGTTCCAGCTTTGGAAAATCCCAGGATGCTGCAAAATCTCACCCCTCAGGTAAAAAATCTGTCAGCAACACCAAAGCTTTCATCAATATAAATGGATCTCCAGTAAGAATTCCTGGTACTGGTAAACGTGAGACAAAACCCTTGAACAATCAGACGGAAATCAGCAGGGCAAAACAAAAATCTTTTGATGACCTCTTCCACAACAAAGGAGTAAAGTCTCTTCTCAGATCAGGGGTTAGTACTTCTAGTGCTTCCAAATTACCAAGTGAGACCACAAGACTATCTGATGCAAGCAATGGAAGGATATTAGAGGACACCTTGACCTCTAAGAGCTTTACGCATTCATCAATTGAAGGCACTTCCTTGAACGTCAAGAAGCCCATTATCCCCATTTCCACCCCCCCTGGGAGCTCCAGACCTGGGCCTTCTGGAAGCTGTTCGAATTCTAAACACCTCAAGTCACCTGAAAAATCAGGGTCCACTGTGCCAGTTTCCAGAAAGAGACCTTGGGACAGTCACCTCTCCACGCACATCTTTGATTTCTTTCAAAGGACATCAGGTGGGTCTGACCTTAGACGGCCAGCGGAGAAGCTTCCGGCGTGTGTGCCCCCTCCCTCCGCACTGGCCGGCCCCAACAGTGCTTCATCTCTGACAGTTAGTTGTCCCGTGTGCCATATCACCGTCCTGGAGTCCAAAATCAATGACCATTTAGATTCTTGCCTCGCACCCTGATCAATGTTACAAATCATGACCTTGCAACAAAAGTTTAACAGAGGGCATGTTCCAGAATGCTGATTGGATAGAGGATTCAGATTTCTTTCAGTCAGCTCGTTTAAATTGTTTTGTACTTAGCTGAGCCTGTTATTTCAGTATTTTTGTTCTAAAACACCAGTTTGTTCTAGATAAATACAGGTTTGTTTTCATACACCTCCGTTTACCCACACTGTGGCAGCACTCCATGCTGTTCCACCTTGGCAGTGCATTTTAATCCTCTGACTTCTTGCAAGGTTCCCAGAAAAACTGCACGAGCGAAAATCTTCCTAAATACAGCTTCTGCAGTGCCATTAAGAAATTAATCAGCTGTGAAATATTTCTCGTTTTTATATTTTCGGCCATACAGTCAACAGATTTATTTTTAAAGATTTTTTAAAAACGGACTTAAATAAATTTCACGGTTGTGCAAAATAAACTACAATAAGGGCTGTTTCTAAAAACCTCAGAGTGCTGCTTGTTCAGTGCCTACACTTGCTTTTACACTGGAGGTCTTGGTGCTTCAGTGACCTGGATAACTGCAGGTACAGCCTAGTAGAGAGCGCTCGCCAGTTTTAATGCTGTTTTACTAAAAGCTAAAAAAAAAATCTGTATAACTTATGCAGTCAGTTTTTTTAAGACCTGGTTTATGCTGCTCTCACATCAAGACATGCAGGTTTGTAATACAAATTCAGAATATAGAATTTAGCTTAATGGTCATTGCATTTCATTTTTGTTTTTCTTGTTTGTTGTGGTTTATTTAATTCTTTTTTGTCTTTGGAAAATAAAATATGCAGCTTCCATACTGTTTTGTTCAATATCATTTATGCAGTGGACACAGAACTACTTTCACATAAAACTGTTTTCAGATTGTTGACAGTTAAGTCAGATGAGCGTGTGTGTTTGTGTGTGTGTGTAAAAATAAATCATGTAAGTGGCATGTATGACAATATAGAAATAATAGCTTTTTTATACACAGAACTAGTCAAGCAGTGTTTTTGTTTATTTGCAAAATGCAAAATGTTTCAGCCAGGGCCACACCCACATTATGTAGGCATGTTTACATAAATATGTACGTCTCAGACAAGTGGAATGAGGTAAACAATTGTAAGGAGCAAACCTGAGTGCAGAATCTGACTTGGTAACGGGGTACCACAAAGGGTTGGCAGTCTGCCCGGAACCGAGAGCTGAGCCAAATGTGAGGCGCGGTCGATAATCATCATAGGGAAAGAGAATGATCAGAGAGCTGTCACCATGTCGATAGTAACGTCGCAGGATGGACGGACAGGTGCGATAGACGCTTTATGGGAGCAGACAGACATTTCAGGCCTGCTGATTGGCAAACACCGGAATGCCTGGCAGCCAAGCTGAGAATAGACTGACGGCAGCAGGAGGGGCGGCGGGCGAATGAGACCGATGGGCAGGTTCCGAGTCTGACGGCTTATCCCACACCAAACAAAAACAGTAGGGTGGAACTTTACAAGGCATTTAACTGTAAACGTTCGTGCTGAGTACAGGTTTAATTTTCTTTCTTGCCTGGGGGAGTGGAACACTTTTCTGTTTTGAGAAATCATGATATCTGTCCTCAGCTGATTAAATAAAAACTTCACAGCAGACAGTAAAGAATATTCTCTGCTTGACCAACAAAATCTGATAATTTAAGGTCCCAGAAATAATAATAATAATTTATGTCCGGTAATTTACATTTTCACTGGCAGCAGCTGCAAAAACCAGAATTATTTCTTTTAAAGGACAGAAACGTGTTCCAAATCGCCTTCTTGTAATATGATATGTGTTCAAACGGTAGCATAAATATAATGACTGCCATAAACTATAGTCAAGACGGAGCTAAAGAATTCCCTATTTATAAAGCGTATAACGTTTTAAAAATGAAGCTTCTTTTAAAGTGCATTAATCTATAGAACAATAGATATACAGGTAAATAATATTATCCCGAGTGTGGGCTGCTCTTCTCTTTCTCTGGTCTTATGGCCCTTCTGTTCATATTTGGAATAACCTTGACTATCCTAGGAAAGCTGCAGCTCAATGCATTGTTCAGCAGGGAGGAATAAGTACTCTGAATATTCAGTCACCCTTTGCTGTCCATCACACTGGGGGGGTAACGCCCAGCCAGCTAGGGAGTCATTTAAAGGGGCAGGAAGCGATCGGCTGCCACGGCTTTCTGCTCATTAGCTGTCGTTTGACGTCTGGGGGGTTTTTTGGGAAACTGGGCGGACCGGTGCTCGGCGACAGTGCTTGTCTTTGAGCGACCAAACACGGGGCGCAGATTTTAACCAGCCCGGATCGCGAAACTTTCAATAAGTTATAAATAAGATGAGCGGCAAATCCGCGAACGGGGCGGCCGCAGGGACCCCGGGCTGTATTGAAGGTCTGCCGCCGCTGCCGAAGAGCCTGAGCGGCTTGCTGAACTCGAGTGGCGGCTCCTGGAGGGAGATGGAGCGGATGTACGCCAAGAAGACCATGATCCAGGACGACCTGAGCCGCGGCCGGAGCCACACGGACAGCCTGGCGGCCAGCAAGCCGGCCAACCTGGACGCCGCGCTGGCACTTCTCAGGAAGGAGATGGTAGGAAACGCTACCCCGGTCACATGTAACACTGTTATTTAAACACGATCAAATGTTTGTCAACAAAGAAGCAACAACTGCTTACATCCTGAGTAGGGTGCGTTGCAACTCAACAAAGCATTTTTATAGTTTGTAGATAATTACTCTGTATAGGCTATTTCTTTAAAACATCTTATTGATTTTAGTGGAAAATGTGTTCTTTATTATGATTGTGCGACGTTTTGTATAGCTGATTCACAACGGCGAGACACTTCTAGAAACGCTTAAACAAAGGAGCCGTGAACTACGTAGTTCAATAGAGGAGTTTATAACAGGGCTGCCGCAGCAGGAGTCATTCTCTATTGGTTTAACTTATTTTTAAGTGACTCTGGTGCCGGCCCTGAGTTGTGGTCTGACCTTCTAGAGATTAACTATACTCCCACACCGTATTTTTTTGTAACTTTCTTCTCATGGACTTCCTGGCCATTCGATCGTTTTCCAGGTGGGGCTGCGTCAGCAGGATATGTCGCTGCTGTGTCAGCTGTGGTCTCTACACGAATCCATCCAGGAGTACAAAGGCAGCTTCCAATACCTCACTTCTGGCTCCAGTTCAGACGGACCTTACGGCATGGAGAACGGCTACTTCGACGAGGATGAAGAGTATTACCAGGAGGCAGGTTTAACCCCGACCGAGCAGCCGGATGCCAACGGGAACTCTTCCCCCAATGGGGATGTGAAGGACAAGTGGCTACACGACACTTTCCATATCACCATTTGAACGACCATTGAAGCAGTGCTTTACTTGTTGCTTCCATATTCTAAGTCCTTTTACTAGAAGCAATATTTTTAGAAAACTCTATTTGCCAGTTTCTTCATTGCTGGCATTTGGTCAATTTTTCAGCAGACTTTTATATTTGAGTATAAATTAAATTGCTTATTTATTATATATAATAGTTGCATTTTTTAATTGACTCAAGGATTTTGGACAGTTTTTGAAAATATATTACTTCTATTTACAGATAAGGGTAAAAGAATCCAAGCAAATGGATATACATGTTTTCATAATAGTTTGTTCTCTACCCAGTGTAAAGGTATAATGCTTCTGTTTACGTAATCAATTTTAGATACCGGGCAGCGTAAGCAAGCTCGTATCCTTTACTTATAATGGATGTGGCTTGTTGTGAAAATGAAAAGATGGACATCTGAGTTCAAAGTTCACATCGAGGACAGATCCGCACGTCATCCTTAACGAGATGTGCTTTGATCCCTCTTGGATTTCCAAAACATTTTCGAGCTGTCAAGGCTGAGCGCATCAAGTCGGATCACGCCTTGTGAGCAGTTGGTGTCCACAGTCGTCTTGTTCCCTGCTTTAGCGAGCGCAAATCCTGGTGGCCCTTAACAGAAGGCTGCACTAATAAGTAAATGTGTTAATGCCATGTCTTGTACCTCTGTAAGACCTCGGCCTAATTCCTGTTAAGTTCAGCGGCTGCCTTTAACAGAAAAACAAAAAACATCATGGCTGTCTACCAAAGGAAACTAAGGGCAAATCTGGAGGCATGAAAGAATGGCTTTCAGATGCTAAATTGCTGTTTGCGAGTTTGTTCCACGTCTGCAAAACAGTAATAGGTTTGTGGTGCGCTAACCAAAGACCAGTGCGGAAATGTCTGTGAAAACACAATACCACACCTTATCCGCAATGCTCAATATTAAACTGTTTTGTCACAAGTGCTGCTTTTTCTCTTTTAAAATGGCACTTCTAGTACTTGAGAAATTAAGAAATATTTTGTATGCCTAGGGGTTGTCGTCATAGACATGGCTATCATAGAGAGCGTTTGATATTTGTTATTAACGGCTGTTGCTGATTGGTTAAGGGTGCATGTGATAACCATGTATGTTTAAAATTGTTATTGTAGATTTAAGAGTAGATGTGACAGTCCCAATATGCAACCTTAAGCCTTTAATTTTGGAGCATTCCACTAGTTTGCCCATCGTTACTTTTTAAATGTACATTGTCCTGTTTTTCTTGGAAATGCATCCACGTTAAGCTCAGTGTGCGTCAGACTGAAACCGGCTTTTGTGCGTTGATAGTTTGCGTTCTAGAACCCCAGCAAAATCTCGTGATAAATTTCTGCCTTTCTAGCTCTTTGATTGAGTACATGCTCTGGTGAGCATTTGTTCTCGCAGTGGAGATGAGATGTGACCTTTCTCTCAGCAACCCCCCCCCCTCAGTGTGCCTTGAGTGCTTCTGTACTCCTGTCATATTTGACTCCCTGAATACTTAAATAATGAACCAGGTCTGCGTTCGCTCTCACAACTGATGTCAATCGCTCTCACAATCGCTCTCACAACTGATGCATCTCCAGTTTAATCAGCAACTTCTTGCATGATCTGTGTGCTTTCCTTGTGTACAGCTTAAAGTGTTATTAGTAATGTTTTTGATTTGTCAGATCTAATGTTTGACAAATGTCCGCTTTGCTCTGAAATCCACTCGGCCCAACATGGCTTCTCCTCTCTCCTTTTTGAAGGCAATGAAGCAGAGATGTTCTCACTTGCTGAATAAGACACGACGCTCCCTCATACACACTCTGGGGAGCCTTATGCACTTTTTGTTTCCTTTTTTTTTCTATTCACAAGGATTATGTACATTTCTAAACAGTTTTGCAGCATTTCTTGATTTCATCTTATTCTAATCATGGACTCATGGACAGTGTACCGTATATACTGTGATATTTTGATGCATGTTCTTCCCCCGCTCTTTTGGCAGTTAAGTGCATTGTGGTCTTCATCCATTTCTTAAACTTTATCACTTGCTGTATGACCATACTACTGTTACATATTTGTGGCAGTTTTTTATCCTCTCTAATGTGAACCTGTAACTTATGCATTATTTAAAAGAAACCAGTTGTATTCTTGGTTTTTAAACTTGTGTATGGGTACAACATGCAAATTAAGGTGGAAAAAAAGTGTGTCTGTGATTTCTTCAATCAGCAATGCCTCTGTAGTAGAAGGTTGTTGGGTCATCTTAGGGCATATGGCCGAATTTGCTGCACGAGGAAGGACGTTTGCTTACCTCTGCTTCTTACACACCTGTCTGGTACGTCTGACGGCTCTCCTGCAAGGTATCACGTCGTGTGTGAAGACTAAGACTGAGTTAGTAGTTTGCCTTTAATAAATCTGAATGGACTGGAGGACACTGCAGTGACAAAGACTTTTTCATCTTTTCTCTACATGAAGAAAGACCGGTTTACATTTCAGGTGGTTTGTTCATTTTATATGTTAAAAGTCTGGAAATTCCAGAAAATACAGTCTAATCCCTATTTAATGGCCTCATTGTGGTGCTCAGAGCCATTCACTTAATTCTATTCATCCTCCGCAAAATAAAACTACAATTGTGATGTCACTGCATGCATTTCACAATCTCTGCGTTAATATCTCATGTAGACGGCACTGCTGGGTATAGCTTTGGATCTTGTTAGGCTATCTCTGCTCTGCTGAGTCAGCTGAAGTACAGTCCCCTGTTTTCTGCTTCATCATCTTCATTTTGATGCATTAAATCTCAGCTCTGTCTATCCGGCTTGAGTGCGTCGCTTTAAGTGCCGATTCTGCTTTCCCTAAATGTGTGGGATGTCTAATTCCCATCGTAAGGGTGCTTTCCTCCTTATCCCCATATTGAAATATCTTTGAGCAGCTGCAGGTTCAATTGTTTATTCCTGATTACGAGGCATTCAGAGTAAAACTGAAGGAATTTCCTGTTGCGAAGTCAGCGTCCTGAAGTAAACTTTTGCACAACTTGGCTCTTGAACACGCACAGCAGCTCGACGCTGCGTAGAAAGCACGGCTGGCTGCGTTTCATGGTCAGAAGCGGGTCCCAATTTATAGCAGGAGGTGTAAACAACAATGAAAGTAAAACCTCTATGCAGATCACAGGAATCTAAAAGGAATCCTGCTGAATATTGCCCTATGACACTTTCATCCCCTAAGAGGAATGTGTGTGAAACTGGAGATGGACATGCTGTACCCTGCTGTGTGCCATGTATGTCGTCCAGCACCTGGTCTGCAGACTTCACAAGATAAAAAAAAAATAAAAAATCTCATCCAAAAAGTGAGGCCTAGGCGCATGTTGCCTGCCTCCTTGGATGTTACTCAGCTAGACCGTTAGGGAGTCATCGCCATGGTGCTACTTCGTGGTTTCCATGGTAATTTATCATGGTACAATAGTGACATCATGACACTGAACACTCCTTCAGAATATGGGTTGATGGGTGCGCTCTTTCTGAACGAATTTCTCAGATGAATTAAAACACACAAGTCCCCTCAGGCTTTAGCTTCTGGTGAAAGTACCTATTAACTGGTAATCAGCGTTTATAGGCATGTCTTTGCATGTATGTTTCTTCACTACATATCTTTCAAAACAGCAAATCACTGCATCTCTCTGAACAGACCTGCAGATGTGGATGTTCAAATTACTCTTGAAACCAGATACCTGGAACTGGGCTTAACTTTGACAGAATTTTCTATACCTCATCTTATTAAAGGTTTGTCTTTGATCTTTTTTTATCTCTTTTTTGGCCGTTATATCAAGTGCCTTTAAGGCAGGGATGGGTAACATGATCTATAGAGGGCCAGTGTGGGTGCAGGTTTTTGGGATGACGTCTCAACGTTATGTACATTATGTTTCCTTACCTGACAGAGTCTCACCTGTTTCCTGGAAGAACAGCTTTACTACAACTTGTTTGGGAAAATATGTGAAACTACATATAATTTAATTTCACACTAAATGAAACTTGGTCAATTCATGGCTCGCACTCAAAATAAAGCATGCTGGTCCAATCCTCAGCTCATCCATTTCAAATTTGTATGAATTTTTCAATAACTTCTAAAATCTCCTCAAACAGTATACTGAGGTCTCACATAGTACCCAGCAGCCAAAAGTAATCTTCAGATTGTCATGGGTTCAACGTGACTCCTGTTGCACTAATCAGATCAGCTTAAACATCATTTGCCAGGCTTGAAAAGCTTAAACATCAAAGCCAGTAAATAATATGAAATTCCAATTAGGTTAGTCCAACAGTATCTTTCATAGTAAGAAATAACCAGTATATTTACTGGGGAAGAAACAAATTTCAGTCACCCCCCTCCTCCCCGATTCAAATTCTTCCAAGCACAATTTTTTTTTTGTTTTCCAGCCTGTGTGATGTCTCCCAAAAGAGACATTTGCAATCAAATGCCACCACTGTGGACTTTCAATAGCCCCTTTCTCACCTTGAGGAGACGTGCGTTGGGTTGAGCAAAGGGAAGACTGGCGTACGTCAATTTTTTGGCCTCGGCCAAGGATCTTCCCTCGGAAGTTACGCTCATCTGCTCCTGAATGCCATTAATCCAACTGAACACACCCCAGCCCTTGAACATCCCACGAAGCCACAAGCAACATTTGCCCTGCGAAAGGAGCAAATTTATAAGCAATTTATGTTTCTGTTGAGCATTTATTCTATGTTTATTTTATTATTATTTTTGTTTTGTAGAAGCACCAAAATAGAAAGATGTGAGGATCAGTGAGCCCCACAGGGCACGGTGCATTCGGACCGTGAAGTTCCTCTATTAGCTTTGTTTATCTTTGACATGCGCTAACAGGAGCATTAGAGCAATGCCTGTTTATAAGAAGGCCACCTGGAGACTATGAGGAATTTTCCCAGATCCCATATGGATCGTTTTGGGGGAGGGCCATTCTTTGGTGCACCTCTAAGCCTAAGGGTATGCAGGCAAACATTCAGAGGCTTGTCACAGCATGAAAACCAAAAACACCTCGAGACACTTCACCCTAACAAATTCCGAGATGAGGAAGTATGTGACATGTGAATAACATATCTGTACATATCATGCTACTTCATAGGTGAGGAGAATGAGTAAAGGAGAATTTTAAAAAGACAGTGAAAAATTGATGAAGCCATTGGGTAGTGAGTACAAGCAGCATGTGACACCAAACTGAAATGGTCTCGTTTCTTCTCCATTCTCACTTTACAGATGATTTATCTGCCGAACGGGCGCGCAAGTTCTCCCAGACCATGTGTGTCGAATACTTGCAATTCCACACCTTCTGGTGGAACTTCGCACGTTGACTTCCACAGATTCAGTTGGGATGATTCCAAGAGACCCTGGGATACAGGAATCCCCAAAAAATTGAAACATGTGTTTCCTCTGGGCCCAAAATCTCTATCGGAGCGTCTGCTCATCAGTCTAATGGATTTCCAGTCTGATTCATATGTGTGTGTTGGCGGAGATCACTGCTGTCTCAGTTCTGTTATTCTAAAAATAATGTTCGTCTCAGTTTCTTGAACTGAGCAAGTCATGCACGCGTGAAAGGTAGTTGAAGGGTCACAGCCTGCGGCCAGGATGCCTGTATGTCTCACGCCTGACTGCGGCGTTTGCTCCTGGGGGGTTATTTGTTCTCAGCAAAGGCTGAGTTTCAGCCGACGGCCTTTTTGCAAAATGCCCAGGAAATTCTCGACATTGTTGCTCATTTCAGTACACGGGGCAGTTAGCTGAAAAAAAGCTACAGTCCCACCCTGTCCTTCCAAAAAAGAGACTTCTCACAGCGGTGCTCCAGCATATGAGACGGCTGCATCTATGAGTCAGAGTAACTTTCTAGATGTGAATTATGGAAGAGAGAAAAAAAAAAACTTTATTAAAAATCTCAAAGTAACATTAACAAAAAACTGAAAAAAATCCTTTAGTATTTCATACACTGGCTCAATAAACACTTGCCAACAATTCTTTGCCCATGGTTTAAACTATTTTTACTGTTTATATAAAATAAAGTCTCACCGTTAAGCTGAAATTCATAAATTATTAAATGGATGGATGGTATAACCACTGACAACTAAAATATGACATATGTAAGTATCATCAGATTATTAAGTAGCACATTCAGATTTTAAGATAATAAATCATTCTGCAGGCGCTTGGGCTTCAGACATATCTCATTGCCTCTGGTGTCACCTCTAAGCAAAGCCTTAAAATGGCCGAATGGGATATGTTACATCACAGGTGTTGAAAATCATTCTGTCATTCCACATTTCTATCCTTCCATGCTGGTTGTGCTGTCCCACGATTCAGTGTTGGGCAGTTCTTTTCCTCCATATTGGCAAAGTTAAGTTGCTTCTTGTAATAATATTTAGTAATAAACTGCTTAAAAACGTGTTATGTCAGATGAATTTCATCAATCGACATATTGTTTAATCTTTAAATTCCACACAAATGTTACAAAATTTCCCCTACGCTAGCTAAATACATTCATCTTTTTTAAGGGGCACAAAAAATGTGATACTTCTTAAATAATACCAAGTGCTCCAGCGCTTATTAACTCCGGTCAACTAAGTCTCTGCCACAATATTTTGAGAACATTGCCACGGGGCCGACTCAAGTGTCTTTGCAGGTCCAGCCTTGAACAGGAGAGGTGGGTCCAAACGCCAGAACCAAAGGGGTTCCTCTATGCTTCACAGCAGATTGTGGATCTTTTTAGCCATACCAGTTTCCAGCAGCAAACCAAAGAACACCGCCATGACAGCTAGCCTCCTGCTGATGTTCAAAATAACTAAAAGGGAGAGAAAACAGGTTATATTTAAAAACAGAAGATATTTAACACGAATGATGAGTGAAATAAATACAAGTAATGAAAAGTCAGTTTTCTCTGTATGTTTTAAATTACCGACGGTCTTTTTTTCATGGATATGGAACGAAGAAATAGCGCCTCCATGTGGCACATATTACTACTCACTCATTAGCCTGTGAATCAGTTCAGCTTTTTATACTCCATTATTTTTCAAATAATGAGTCAATGGGATTAAACAGGCAACACCCGTTGTTTTTGGGACAATGTTGCATTATTACGTGCTACAGTAAAATATTCTGCTGCTTAAATATGTTGCCTTGTATACAGGTATATTTTTAATCTAGACTTAAACAATTATGTAACTCGACAGGATTCCTTAATCGTCTGGACCCTAATGCCTACCTCGAATAGCCTGGGAGTTGGAGGCGAGCACGAAGAGTCTAATAAGCCCGAAACATAAGGGTGAGTAATCATGCTCCCATATGACAGCGGGTATAAGCAGCAGCTTGCCATAGCAGGAGAGCAACAGGGCTTCGAACAGCAACTGCGGCTTCAGGTCGGCCCTTCGAAGCCGCTGCAGGAGCCACAGGAACGCGAGCACGCCTCCGAGGAAGACACCCAGCTCTGAAAGACAGGGACCCGCCCAAGACAACCACGCAGGGTCAAACCTGATAACAGGGCACAAACTTTTACACTGAGAAGAAGGGAATCTCACATGCATCCCTCTCCATCAGATCTACCGTCAGTCCGTCAAACTAGTACGTAACCCTCGGTGTGTCTAGCCGCAGGTCGCCTACATACCCAGGGCTGCCAAACTGAACATCCCATAAAAATCCCATTCTTTGGTATATCGGATGATATCCGCCGGGTCAACAGTCTTTTCAGAGCCTGGTAGCTGCGACCACCTCAGATACGCCTCACAGAGCAGGCAGAAAACACACAGTTTCCCATGAATCTGTAGAAAAGGGAATCGAGGCACTGGCATGAATAATGAGAGCAATTGAGCAACTGGAGTCTGGAGTTACTGAATCTGCAATGTATTTTAAATATAATCTAAAACAGTAATGCATCACAATGGGATAGAACTAATATAATTAATGACAATACTCCAATATGTAGGGTCTTTTAATTACAAACTCACATTTATTTTGGTATTGAATAAAATGTGTCGGAACGCCTGAGTCTTGCATAATATTGCATCGATTAGAATGATCACTGGGTCATATTCAATGTACTTGTCCACGGGCTTCCGGCACGATTCCTGAAAGAAAGGATGCATCTCACAGGTCACGATCAACAGATTGTACTGCACTTAAATCATCTGCGAGCAGCTAAGAGACGCCCGACAGATCCCAAATACTGGATTTTTACATAAGCATTTCCATTTTCATAATGATTAATAAAGTAACAACAACATTTTTTCTGTAGTTTGAGTTACATACTGGACAGCGCAATGCTCATTTCGTAGCTCACTTAAAAATTGGTTTCTTGCTTCCATTACCATCTCCTCGATTTATACCATTACTTACACATATCGTAATTTTCAAAATCCCATTTCTGTAATCTCTGTAGAGTTCATGGGCATCTGCGTTACACTCTATGCATCTAAACGGTGCCTGCTCCATTCTCATGGTACACAACTGTCAGCCGGCTACTTCAGTCCCGACTTCCTGGACTCAACCTGGAGGTGGGTCTGCCACGTCAGACTTCCAGGGAAATGTAGTTTTTAGTGTCGATCTCCCGTCACCTACTTTCTGCCGTTTGAGCGGAACGAGTCAGCAACAAAGAACTACATTACCCATGTACCAGCGCTTTTAACCTGCTCATAAAACACAACATGGCACCTGCTGGCCGGGGTGCTGTTGTGGTTGCGCTTTCATTACAATGTTTGTGCCAAGCGATTTTTTCCACCGAGCACTTTTCTACTCTTACGTTCTTCAACAGTGAGCTGCACAAGCATGGCTGTAACTCTCCCTCCGAGTGGGAAGAATATGCCGGAGATTGTGGTGAGGTTTTATTTACAGTTTTGCCACGTCCTCCGAAGTCACTCGCCGTAATGCAATAGAGGCGTCTAAAACACTTCCGTATCCGTTGACATTAGATCGCTTTCTGGCCAGATGGCTCACCACGATCAGGAGTAGGGGTCGGCGTGTAATTAACATCTGTTAGGCTAGTGAAAGCGCAGGAATCTTTCGGTTAAGAAAAATCGGTTGTAGCAAGGCATGGCTTTCCTTAAACGATGACTCCGCTAAATCAAATGATTGAACTTTGCTGCAGGTAGCCATACAAACTTCATTTATTACATTCCATCGTATATTAATACATTTGGGAGCTAAACAGACTCGAACTGACTGTCAAAACGTTGCTGTCTGCAAAGGTCTGATAACACGCCAGCAGTAATCAGTCCTCAGTATTGTGGTGCTGAGCTGTCATCCAGTTACTTATTCGTTACTGTTTTCAGCTTCACTGTTTTCATGTATGCCAAGTAAAACTAAGAACACAATGCGATTTTAACTACAACTATCATGATTGAATTTTAGATCTTGTCATATTTATAACCACTGTTTTCCCTTCTCCCGGTTAATATAGTGCCCGTATGTAAAGCTTCCGATTATAAACAACGCAGTAAAATTACGTTAAAAAAAACAACAGTTCTAAATGTTTTGAAATGTATGCAGTTCTATTGTATTACATTTAGAAATAATAATAGGACAGTGGGGGAAAAAAAACAATTTTATGGTTTATTTTGAATTGTGTAGTTTAGACTTTACGCTAATGTTCAAAGACCTTTGAAAGGGAAGTCCTACAGTGGGCAGTTCCAGGTTTGGCGCAAATGTGGCCATTGAAAAGCGTAAGCGATGGCTGTGTGGACTGTAATATTAATGGGACAGGGTTGTGTGTTTTATGCCCTGGTCCTCACTGCACCAGCTGTATTAATATGCATGTTCTCTCTTTGTGAAGAGTCATCTGCGCTCCAGCTTGAAGATCCAGACTGTGAAGAAGCCGGCAGCCCCGCTTGTGAATCAGTCTTTTCGCTGAATGCAGAGAAGATTCTGGTAAAAGCTTATTTTATTCGGTTATTTTTTCGTCAGCGAATAAACATTCAACTGACAGTTTTAGACTAGGGGTCTCCAACAGTGACCACAGTGCATCGCTATGAACGCATGCTAGAAACTGCTTTGATGTCGCTAAGTCTGTGTTTTAAGCAGAGCAGGAAACCTGTTTTCTGTATAATTTATCAGAAGCAGAATTGAGGGACACTGTTTTGGATTGTCTTCCTTGTCACCCTGTTTAGCATTTGTATTAATGTACTGGAAATGTACTTTTGTAAAATCGACACGAACATAATACCAAAGCTCAACAAAATGTTTACATACGCACACGTTTTCATATTTTTTTGGGGGACCGTCCACTAATTTCTAAGGGCATTTTTGTTATACTTTATTTTTTATCACCAGAGCCAAGCAAAGCTGTTAATTGAGCAGAAGCGATTCCCATTTGCTGTTGAGAACCCAAACACAAATGAGGAGTTAGGTAAGTGTGGATGGAAAAAGATCAACTAATAATCTTCACATGTGTGTATATTGTACAAAATCTCTCCAGATGTCCTTAGATGCCTGCTTCTCTCAGCAATAGGTTATGTGCTTATTGAAAATGGCCTATATGATGAAGCAATCAAACACTTCTCCTTGCTGTTGCAGGTTTGTAACAATTTATAACTTGAAACGAGTGTGTTTATACTGTAAATTCTGTCAGTGACACTTGAATCTGAGCTTTATCACAAGCGTTACATCTGTACATGTTTTGTATAATGGCAATATCGTGTTGGCCAGTTGGCCTTAATTTTGCTTTGGACTGATTTATGACGCAGGGGGACCCAGAGCTGGTCAGTGCCATCTATGGTCGGGGGATAGCTTATGGGAAGAAAAGTTTACAGGTAAGCTGCTTCTCTCCGTCGCTCAGCCGGCAGCACACTGGCGATGACGATCGATCGCGGGCAAGGTCGTGTCGGAGTGTCACGATACGGGACGAGACCGTCTCTCTCCGTCCGCAGGATATTAAGAATGCAGACCTGGCGCTGTATGAGCTGGGCCGTGTCATCACCATGGAGCCGAGCCAGCCGGAGGTCTATGAGCAGCGGGCAGAGGTGAGGATCTCGCAGAGAGGGACCCAGGGGAAGGCCAAGGGATTTGACTTGGCGTCAGGATCCTGTTTTGCTCACTTAGCGTTGTTAAAAGGACGTCAAAGGATTTGCATTTAGCAGACTATTTAATCCAAAGTGATGTGCAATTCAAAGCAGGATTAGTCAGTCCCAGGAGCAAAATAGTTAAGGGCCTTGCTCAAGAGCCTGATGGTGACATCAGTCTGCTGACTGCAGGATTTGAACCTGCAACCTTCTGATCATGGGCACAGTGTCCTAACCCACTGAGCCACACACTTACTTATTTTTCTTATGTTTTATTTTAACATCATAAAAAAAAATAATAAAAAGACTGCAGCCGGGAGCATTACAGGGAATAAAGTTGGGAAATACTTGGAGTAGAGTATCAGCATTAAAGGTGAAACACGCTTTACTATCAGTTTTGAGTCCCGGGGTCATTATGGTCACCCAAGCTGTTCTGGGCTGGTCTTCCCTTTGCTGATCTATGGCATGTTGCCATGGAGACCTCACGGTCAGCACGTCATGCCGTGTTCTCATAATGAATCTGTTAAAATAATCTTTTGCGTTCTGCCGAGATTAACCGACCCCTTACCCTGACCGGCTCGCAGATACTTTCCCCACTGGGACGGATCAGCGAGGCCCTGAGCGACCTCTCCAAAGCCATCCAGCTGCAGCCCTCAGCCCGCCTCTACAGGCACCGGGGGACTCTGTTATTCATGTCTGAGGTAGGTCTGCTGGCTTCAATCCTGCCAGCATTCTTGCCCAAGCTAAACCACAGACAGTATGCTTTGGGCCATGAGCTGAGTACAGCTGTACCCTTTCAGGTGATCCCAAACATTGTAGGTTCAATTTCCTGCAAGATCTCTGTTGTGGTAATTTGAATTGACGCATCTGAATTGCCTACAATAAAAAAAAAAAAAAATCCATTTATATTAATTTATAAAGTGTAAAACTGGAACCTTTAGAAGTCATAGGGGTTACAGCATGCGCAGGCCAATAAAGAAAATTATTTCAGTTGGTGGCAGTCCATTCAAACTTAACAGGCCAAAATAATCAGTAAAATATTTTCAATTTCCTGTTGAATGGTGATACTATGTCCCCTTTCTGCCTCTTTCATACAGGACTACACTGCTGCTTTAGAGGACTTTCAGCAGTCGTTGGACCTGAAGAAAAATCAGCCTATTGCAATGTTGTACAAGGGCTTAACTTTCTTCCACAGAGGAATGCTTAAGGTAAAGGTTCTGGTCTGACTGCAGTTCATCAGGTGCTGTGACTGAAGTCTTGTGGCTATTGGTAGCTCACGGCAACCCTTTATATCAATCAGATGTTGCCTCTTCTTGCAGGAGGCCATAGAGACGTTTAAGGAAGCGCTCGTGTTAAAATCAGACTTCATAGATGCATACAAAAGTCTTGGACAGGCTTACAGGTAAAGGCCGTTTTGCACCTGCCTGGTGCTACTGGTTTTGATGGTGACCCTGACCAACAGAATGTAGAGTGGGTTGCATGCAGAGGATGACTTGTTGCGTCCCGGTCTAGCAGCGATGGGGGGTGGGGGAGGATAAGGGTGCGGAGGACAAAGAAATGGCTTAACACAAGGGGTTGCAATTAATAAAGGATGTATTTTGGAAATATCGGGATAGGGGATGTGACACACCTGGGTGAACTCTGGGAGTGACAAAGGCCAAAACAATAAACAAAACCCAATGAACTACCTACATGCGTACCAACGAAAACGTCCCCAACCCGAAAGAAAAATAAAACAAAAGACAATCACTAACCGAACCCTTACTAACCACAAAACAGAGACAAAACGTTGTACATGTTGAAAACAAATGGCAGTCACTCCCTGCAACCCCTAAACATATATTTACATAGTATTTATACAGTATTTACACAGGGCAACCAAATCCAATCCGTAATTCAAAGGGTAGTCGGTAACCAGACAGTAGTCAAAACACGGGTAAACAAATACAAAAGTCGAATAACCAAAACCGAATCGAAGTCTAAAAGCGCGAGAATTAAGAGCCAAAGCATATCGGAACAATAAGTCAAAAATACGAGCAAAAAGCTATCAGATGGGGGGGTGAGGCGTCTTTTATAGTCCATGATTGGAGATGCGGGAAACGGGAACGAGGCATTGAAAACCAGTTCATCCAGTTTTGGCTCTGCGTTCATGGAGAGAAATGGAAAATGCGGAACCGGAATCTGAAAGCGAAGATGAATACACACACAAACACACGCAGACAATACACTGTCACTGAAGGTGTATCTCCGGGTATGTGTAGGGAGCTGGGTGACTTTGAAGCAGCCATGGAGAGCTTCCGGAAGGCCCTGCTACTGAACCAAAACCACATTCAGTCTCTGCAGCTCCGGGGCATGATGCTCTACCATCACGGCAGCATCCAGGAGGCCATCGGCAACTTCAAGGTACCAAATGCGTCTCCCGTAACAAAGCTGCCCCTCCTGGCTCTTGTGGCGTCTCTCCTTCAGGTGTAATCCTCTCATCGTTCTCTTGCTTCTCCACGCCGGTCTTTCCCTGTCCAGTCTGTTG